GTGCTAAAAAGTAGTATTGTATATTGCTGTGAACCATTGCAACCCAGGTATACTGCTAGCAACATTTTTTGTAATAGGTAACTTTCCCTTCAATTTCTCCAACTCGTTTGCTACAAGATAAAGAGGAAAGAAAAATCTGTGGGAAGCTTGCTGCTGCCTACAGATTCCTTTTGGGAAATGGGGTTCTTAAAAAGCCTCCCCACCCTCAAAGGTATTAGGGTGGTATCGTGCACAGAAGAGAGCATGAGAGTGAGCACTGGGGGACAGCATCTCAATTCTGTCATGCTAATGAATGAGGATACAGTTGTCTCCTAGAGAGTATTTTGAAGGACAAGTGATGAGAACTGGATACTATCCGTTTATTCCCACATATCTGGGCAGGAAACTTTTTCATATAGTGGACAAATATTTAAATATTTTTCAAATATAACCTATCCTCCTAAATGGCATGGAAATCTGTCATGAGGTCTTGGCATAACTCAGTTGGCAGCAACTGTTGTTCTTCCTAAGCAGCAGCATTGGCACATAAGGGAGTGACAGAGCCATACTCTAAGTATGGAAAGCTGTCTTCTCGATAGCAACAGGAGACCATTTTCAGATCTGAAACTCTATATTCTGTAGCAAACAAACAAAAATATGCAGAAGGATCCTGATTCTTGGAATATGCATTTTCCCACCAAGCCTATTTATAAAACTGCCTGATAAAAAAGCATATAGAAGAAATGATTGCAACTCAGAATATCTGGGTTGTATTCCCAGCTCTGTTTGCCCTTGAGTGAGCCACATTAAAAAAAAAAAAAAAAAATCTGCCGAGAAAGCCTTTATACCTCAGTTTCCCCACATCTACAGAAATAACAAATAAATAGGAGTGATCTCGTTTGTGTGTGGAAAGCATGTTGAGATGATTTTGTGGAAGACGCTAACGAAGTGTCATGCATTATTATTGCATTAGGCTGACTGTACTTCTGAAATCCATCTGACATTTCCCACTTGACATTGATTGTGGGTGGTAACATTTCTGTATTAATTTTAAGGAGGATGCATTATAGCACTGCCTGATGTATAATCACACGGTTTATGATTTTCTAAGAAAGGCAGCAACCTGTGAGATCCTCTCTCTTTTTCACTTCGTTAAACTACCGTGTTACGTTTCATTACGGATCCTGCCAAGCAGCTCTGCTGTGCTCCTTATAGCTATGTGTGAAGTGTCGAGGTGAAGTTCATAACTATATTTGGGTATCAGAGTTTATTTCCTCTACTCTCTTGAAGGTTAGCATGACGAGCGGTTGAGGAATGCTAGGGGAAACCGTCGTTAACATGAGCAGGCTGTGCCTGAGCTCGGATTGCCCCGCTGAATCCTGTTTCGTGTTGCAAGCAGTTAAATCACCAGGCGCCGGGACGGTGCTCCGACCACACAAACACAGGATCGGGTCTGTTCCGTTATCGTGCTGCTGAGACTGGTCCTCCGCGTCACAGATAACAGCGGCTCTCCCGTACGTTGTCAGCGGTCGGAGCCTAGCGTTGGAAGTCGAATACTCCCCGGTCAGACGTGCCTGTAAAGCAGGGTGGTAGGAGAGGAAGCTTGGAGAGGAAATGAGTAAGTCAGCAGCCCGGCCCAGTGTGTAGCTGTACGGCAGGGTTACTGGAGCAAGCAGTGGAGCGGGGAGGAAGTGTTGCAACGACTAACCCTCGTGTGTGTGTGTGTTCTTCTCTGAAACAGCCTCATCACAGAAAAATCTAACATAAGAGGACTTTGGGGACACATTGCTGCACAACTAGTGCAAGACGAAATGATCTATTGCTAGTTCTGAAAAAAGGGGGAGCAGGCACAGCTCCTGCTTAGAGGTGCTCAGCACCCAATGAAAGGGGAGCACCCATAAAAAGCAGACTGTTGCATGAAGTTACTGATTTTTTTATCTTCTGTTCTGCATGACTTTTCTATCCTTTGCAAAGTGAGTATTGTCAATGATGGTGCACACTGGAGCTTTATGTTTTCCCAAGGAGTTTAAGATAACATTTCTAATAGGTGTATAGTTACATTGATACTTAAAAACTGTGGAGGGAGGGATTATCTATTTCCCATGATATTTGCATCAGAGAATTTCGTGTAAAAAGAACATAGTGGCATGTGTGCATTCTTATAATTTCATGTGTATATCTACATGCTTTTCATTTTTTGCAACTGACTCCTGAGCAGTTGGGTCCCTGGAAGAATGAGATGAATGAGAAGGGCATCCTATGGGGAAGGGGGAAAACAGAAGCAAGTGGTGATCCCTATGGAAAGAGAGGAAATTAAATGTGACATTCCACTGCCAACTGGGTGTTGGTTTCCTATATTGTCTCCATCAACAACTCTTCGCCTTCTTGATTTTTTTTAGAATACTTCTCAAGTGAAAAAAATCTTCTTTTACCACGGCCTCCTCCCAGTATTTTTTTTCTACCAATGCATGACTATCAAAATACTGACCATGAGTAAAGTTTTGGTATGATGTGGATTATCAACTTTGTTTACAGAACACTGTTTACATTCTTTATGCTTGTCACTTTTAAATTAATGAGAAAAGAAAATTATGAAGGGGGTGGATGGGTGGGTGAAGTCCATTCTTTGAATACTAGATACTTGCAAAGCAGCTGCTAGAATGAAATTTCCCTGGCTGCTTAGTGAGAGGATAGTTCAAATTGTAGTCAAAATTAGGATTGGTACACCAGATTATGTGTGGGTGTGACAAATGAAAAAGGAAATGCTTGGTAAAGTATTTTTATTTGTAACGTGAAACTAACCTAAAATAATATTGGTGGGTATTAAATTCTGTATGTTCCAGTGGATCAGTTTCATTGGAATACAGAAAATAGTTCTGCTTATAGTAATAGCTCAGAGAATATTTCTGAGACATTACTTTAGAAGAATGACTGAAGTTGAAATACTAGTAGCAGGGAATACATGATGCTATGGGTGTGGTATGCGTCTTTTATCATCATGATTTCATATTGTTCTAAATACGTGTTCGTACGATCTTTAGAGACTCCACATCAGCATTCATTATATATGGTTAAACAGTTGAAGAAACACTTTCTTAGCTACAGCTGGCTTTAAAAAACGTTTTAATGGAGCCTTTCATGTCACTCACCTGTAATAGCAAAAAAAGAGTATCAGTCTGTGAAAACACAGGTGACTGAAGCAGACTTCTGGGTGCAGCAGGGAAGTTTAGGGCCCCATCTAACAGCAGCATCCTTTGGCTACAGGAGAGCTCAATCCACTTCCACAGTTTATTTCTGTGGAGTTATCTACAGTTCTAAAGCTGTCAAGAAAGCTATGGCAAACCAGCTGGTGATCCACCTGCAGGAATATGGGAAGACATAGGGTAGACCAAACAAGTTACAATTCTCTCTCTTTTAATGAAGAGGGAGAAAATCTGTGACAAAGGTACTCAGATAGCGAAGGAGTCCTTAGCATGTGAGCGTGGACTGAGCAGTGGTACTTTTGCTGGGTGGAAAGTGGATGTTGGTTCTCTGGGTAAGACTCTGAACTGGGAATTGCATCCATTTTCCCGCCCTGGCTCTGCCACAGATTTCCTTGGTGAACTAAGCAAGTCGTTAATGGCTTTGGCCTCTGTTTTTCTGTTCACAAAATGGCATTCTGACCCCTTCCTCCCAAGGGTCTGTGAGGTTAAATAAAAGGATGTTTATAAAGTGAGCTCATATTGTTTTTATGGAAGAGGTGCAGTTTCAACTTTTTCAAACACTATTCTCAGCAGAGAAAGAACCTTAGATATTATATTTACTTACACAGTGATGCTGTCATACATGTATGCTTTCTCTCAGTGGTAACATCCCACGGTAGTGGGAGGTTCTGTACAAGTCTTTTTTTCTGGGGTGAGGAGAGAGACCATGGACACCCTGCAAAAGGGAGCCAGCGCTGGCTGCCAAGGGCCACTGATATCCTCCAGCTGTGTGACACCCCTGCGCCACGCTCCGCTAGTCCGAGCTGCCTCTGCGTGCTGGGACACCCCGGGATGGTGTGAGCACCTCTTGGGGTGCACTCTTCCTTCAGTACATAGGTGAAGGTGTCTGTTCCTTTTACCTCACCCTAAGTGAACCTGGTTCCCCTTGTGTGCATGCGGTAGGTGTTACCAAATGCTCTCTCTGTGTACGTATACGCCTTATGAAATGCCTTCAACCTCTATCTTCAACCCCCACTCCTCCCTTATTTTGGAGGATGTAGTTCAGCTGGTCCTTTTCAACCTTTTGTTGCTAAGTGCCATTTTTGTGCTGCCTGTTGCTAAGTATTTGGTGCTGCTCAGTCTCACCCTTCCCCCCTCCTCTTTTGGCGGAGAAAGGACGCAGCATATTTCCAGAATATATACTCTAATTCCAGCATCGAGACTACTGTACATCTGGTGCTCTCAGTCTCCTCTGTGCACATTACAGTGCACTGAACCATAGGCGAGGGGACAAACGACCTGTCCCTGCGTGGTGGGACATGGTGATTACTGCAGAAAGTGTCACAGAGGCATCGCCAGGCGCGGGATCACCAGCGACGACCCGATGAACTCTTACCAAAACACAGGCGCATGTCTCTGCTATCACTTTCTCTTAGGCAGCCCCAGAGCATGCAAGTTGGTGGTGGGGCGTGTGTAGAGGTAGAAACACGGTGGGAGGTGGAATTGTGGTAGATGTGACTGATTTACGACAGGAGTTTCCTTTACAGTCATAAGGGGAATTTTGCTTGGTCACAGCAAGTTTGAACCCTCATGAAACAGCCTGAATCATTTGAAGTTAAAATAAAACAGAGAATGGCAGGAGGAGGGGCATGGCCGTTAAAAAAAAAAAGGGGGGCAAAAAACACAATGTTAAAATTGTTTCCTTTGGTGCTGACTTCTTAAATGGGAATGTGATCCAGAATAGTTCTGGTGTGCAAGCCAACATTTGTTTTCAGAATTTTTATTGTCTTCTTTTCTCTCTTCCCCCTCTCCCCCTTGCCCTCCCCCTCTGCTCTGCAGATTTACACTGACTGGGCTAACCACTACCTAGCAAAATCTGGCCACAAGCGGTTGATCAAGGATTTGCAACAGGACATTGCAGATGGAGTTCTGCTAGCAGAAATCATCCAGATCATTGGTAAGACCAGGGCTGAGGGAAGCACTGCGAGCTGACTCCTTGCATGGGGGAATATATAATTCAAGTTGAATGTATTTAACAATAAGATGAACCCTGAATAATACATTTTGACTGGGTCCATATGTCTCTGATATTTGTGTGGTTCATCCTTTCTTAATTAAAAAATATGTTTATGTGAGCATGTTTGGAAGTGGCTGTTTAACTGTACTTTAAATGGCCAGAACTGTATCTTACACACTTTGAATTGTCAGAACTGAATGCTCCATTAAACCATATGTCTCCCATGTGTGCATTTTGTTAGTTGGAGTGGCTCATACTTTCTGGGATGCCTTGAAACTGTATCCTGACCCTGCAAAGACAATTGTGGAAGATTTCATGTCAGCAGTTATTTTGCAGGGGCTGAAGAATTAGCAGCGACCTCCTTCGCACTTCCCCCTTTGCATGATTTGGCATGTGGAAGCAACTGCTGCTAACAAGAGTGTTGTTACTGTACGACTGAGCTTTACTTAGAAAGGAGCTCTGTGTCAACAAAACCCTGTGCACTTTATTGCTGTGTCTTTTCTACTCTTCTTCTGTTTTTTGTTTTGGTTTGGTTTTTAGGTCTTTTTTTTTTTTTTTTTTTGGCCAGGGGGTGGAAAGGAAAGTTTTATCTCATTGCTTACTTCTGCTTTTCTCCTCACTGTTTTTTTTAGCAAATGAAAAGGTTGAAGATATCAATGGCTGTCCCCGGAGCCAGTCTCAAATGGTAAGAATAAAATATATTTTTAGTCTGTGTTGGCACCTCTGCACTTTCCTAAAATGCTTTTTTATAATGATTTATTTAAACTCTGAATATTCTGTCCCACATTTACCATAAAGTCCTAATTGTCATATAGTGTTCCTGGTACTTTTTTTTCCACATGTGCTTAGTGTTTGTCACTTCATTTCTGTGCTCGCTAACTTTGGGTCTTGACGTAACCCAGCAGCAAAACTTCATCACTTCTAATTAATGCAGAACTGCCTTAGCAGACCTGTTCTTCTGATGATCCAGATGATTTAATTTAACTTTGTTTTTAAGGGCAGTAAATCCAAGAACAAATTTTTAAGTGGAGTCTTTGTGTCTGGAAAACTGGTTTGATGAACAAGACTTGCCAAATTATTTTTGAATATAAATAGCCTTTTGGATTGTCCACTATAAAGTCCAGTTAGATGCACTGACTCCAAGACTTTCAGAAATAGCACTTTAGTCATATAGCTCTCTGAGCTATAGCTGGCAGCTGCTTACAGACATTTTAATACTCTCAGGCAAGAAGCATGTTGTGACTGTGATTCATATGGAGTCTTATTAATCTTTTACTGTGTTTACGGCTAGTCAACTACATTTAATAAGATGAAGACTCCTTAGAAGGCTGCAGAACTGACAGGTACAAAATCTGAGCCTCAGTAACATCACCATGCATTTACTGAATCACTTGCAGTTCCAGTCATGCTCCCTCATGCTGAGGACTTTGCCTTTCTGTTCATATCCAAATAGCATCTGAATAAGGTGCACAATTGTGTAGCTGGCAAGAATTTTGGAGCGTAATGGTTTGGATGAGCTTGCATAATAGCAAACTGCTGAAGCTGGGCTTAAAAATGGAAATGGAGTAGAAAAAAAGTTGCATTCATTCAGTGCATTTTTTAAAGGGGGAAGGTATTTGCAGCTTTTTTCTGCAAAACTGCAAAAGGTAAAAGGAAAAATTTTGAGTACCGGTGAAGTGAATAATTGGGTCTTTCAGTTCTTACTTTTCAAAAAAATGTGCAGGTTTAGAGTAAGTTTTTTCTCTGGCTTTCAGGCTTTTTGAAACAGTCCATAGTAAGAATATATGCAATTTTCTTAATAATAGTTATTATTTTAATTACTCATATTACAGCAGCATCTAGTGGCCCCAGCTGAGAATGTTGGGAAGTCCAGCGTGGAACTCTAATATTACACACACAGATCGAGAGATAATCACTCTCTACTTTAATCACATTAAAACCTGCCATTCCAGACAGACAAGACAAACAAGAAGAGACAAAAGCACAGAAAAGTGATATGATTTCCCGAGGTTATGTAACTGGTTAGTGACCATCTAGGACTGCTTAGGGACTCACCAGTCTGATGTCTGTCGAGCTTCATTTCCATGAGAGAAAGCCAAGCTGCAGAGAGAACTATTCACTCTAACGACGTTTTCATCTCCAAAGTGACAACATTTGTGTACGTTCCCTGCTGATAGGTAAATCTTTATGTGGCATAGGGATTCTGGATTTCATCTCTAGCTCTGCTGCAGTTATGGGGGAAGCACGGTCAATGCATGCCCGTGCCGCAGCAGTACCTGTGGGAATCTCTTTGTGTCCATCTTTGTCCTCTTGTAAGCACTTCTCTCAGCCTAGCCAGGCCAAAGACTATGTCTCAGGTGCTCTAGATCTCAAACCAGGTGCTTCGAACGCTCCTGTACATAGTCATACATCAGTGTTTGCACAGTGCTAAGGCATCACGTTTAGCCACTTTAACTTCCTAGAAACAGAATATATTTTTTCATCCTTCTTTGATTTGGTCTCTTTACTGTATTGTTTTAACTCTAGAGTCTGATCAGATTATTTTCCTGCCTTTTGACATACCAATTTTATACTGCTGATTTCTTCGACTGAGCTAGGAAATTTAAAATGTACTGAAGTTAAAGTAGTTCAAACTTGTCAGCTTTTCTCTCAGAGCATCTCAGACACCCCAGGTTTTGGGTCTGCTCTCCATTTGTTTCCTTTGGGTTGTGCACTGATCTAGCCTAGCTGAGGACACCATCTTATCGCATTTTCAGGTAATTTCCCTTGGCAATGCTCAACTTTGTTAGCCCGCTCAGTTAATGATCGGCCAATTCTCTTCTTGTAGCAGTGGACTCTTGGGTATTTCCAATGTGCGGAAAAAAAATGTAACAGTGGTTGAAGCTAGTTTACATGTTTGAGATATGCCAGTATGTAGCAATATGTCCTGCCAGGATTTGTCAGAACAATCAGCCATCAAAAAAACCAGCAACAGCCATGATATTCCTATAGCATGCTTGTTAGCCATTCATTCACCACTTTCATTTTAACATTTTTAGTTAATAAACCTCAAGAATCCCACCACCCTTTTCTTTCACATATGTTTTCATGATCCTTGCTCTCATAACTTGCAATTAAGGAGAAATGTTTTCTGTATTCATCTGCCATTTGATACCCTTCCCAGGAGGTGATGTCTAAGACATTTTATTAGCTCAAAAGAAGCTAGAAAGCACTGGCATGGATTGTCTGCTGCTGGCAACACTTGATATCCCCTGTAGATGATATTGATATCAATTCATAATTAATCGCTACCAATATTCCCAAGTTCTGTTCTATTCACCATTTGGTATTCCTCTTGCCAATGGCTTCATCTTTCAAGTGATCTTTAAGGCATCTCAATTCAGCTGTTACCTTAATTTGTAAACATCTTTTAATGTTTGTTTTAAATACATATAAAATGCTTCTCTTTTAGTTTTCTTTTAGTTAGGTCTATTGCAATGTCTTGCACTCTATGCTCATCTTGGCAGTGATATATAAAGTACTTGCAAACAAGTTGAACTGGCCTCACAGGTCCAAGTTCATAAAAATTAAAACCTGTGAACCCCAGCAGCATCCAGTTTCTGCATAGTTAGCTCCTCGTGGCTGTCATTATGATCACACATTTGATGTCGCACACAGAATTTGAGAACCTGAGATGTACTGGGGAATAAATTATTTCATATTCAAATCTCAGAAACTTTAAATAAATGAAACTTGCAAGAGAATTGGCAAGATTTCTTGTTTGCTGGGTAAATCTACTGTGGTAAAAAGATTTTGGCATTTCTTATGAATGGTTTTAATAAAGATAATAAGGACTTAAAACTCTGTGTATTATAATATACATTGTCTGTCTACAGTGTCATATAGAGTCTTCTCCTTGCCTTGCCTATTTTTTTCTTCACAGTTATGCATTCAAGGAGGAATATGGCACTGCAGCCTTTTTTTCATCATTTTTTTCAAGCCCTTCAATGGAAAAAAAACCACATTCATTGCTATCTTTTCCTTGTATGAATTATTCCATAAGTCTATCAATTAAGGAAACCTAGAATCATCTGTCTTTTAGAAGATAATCGTCTTTCAAGGGTTTACCTTTTGATACAACCAAAAGCTGATTCCTTTCTGCTTCTTTATAAGCCATTTGTTTCTTTAATTTCTGTTGTAAGTTCTCTCATCTTTAGAAAAAGCAGGATAGCGTCCTGGGTAGAAAATATGTTATAAAGCTTTTCTCTAATGGTCCAAAGAAAGAATTCATCTTTAGAAAAAGCAGGATAGCGTCCTGGGTAGAAAATATGTTATAAAGCTTTTCTCTAATGGTCCAAAGAGAAAGAATTCAGATTTTTTTTTCTTCCTGAACATATTAAAAATGTACTGGAAGATCTCCAGTGCTTTGTCTCTAAAGAGATCATATCAAACATATAGTAAGCATACAGAGTATCAAATTTAATCCATCCTAGGGTTGTCAGAAAATGCAAGAGAATCAAAAAATGTTGGACTGTCATTTTTTGTGACATTTGCAGTATTGTCGCTACAGAATTTTACAAAACCAATGTTTCTATTCTTTCCTCATGCATTCTATGGTGTTTTCAGCTGCATAAATAGTAAAATAAATTCAAAGTTGCCAAAAATTTTTAGTATATGGTTTTTCAAGTTGATTTTTCCTTCAGAGATTACTGTTGTCTTATTAGCTGTTTTTTCTTCCTTAGAATTAGCTCTTGCTACTTCCCATGAGAACTGTCTATGCCAGTACACATCTATGCACAGAAGCATCCTTAATGTGGTTGGTAGCAGGGTTTTTCTCACAGTTATTAAAGGGCTGGAGAGACCCTGCTTATTAAAAGGCTCCTAATGTAGTTACATGCATTTAATAAAGACTATTTTTCATTTTGTCAGTCTTATCTTCGGCACAGTTTTCTACCAGTTTATATAATCCAAGGTATGCTTCAAAGGTAATTTGTATAGTTTAGGATACAGACATGCTGCAGTCCAACAGAGGGAATTGAGTTCAATAAAAATACAGGTCTTGCTTACCACATCCTGGAAATCAGGGAGTTGGAGAAGGTGTTGGAGCTGTAGCACATTGCCAAATGGATATGAACATTTAGTAAAAAGCTGCAATTAGCAGAGGTGACACCATCTTTGGGTGAGTAGCAGTGTATCTGTTGAAAGTGGGAATCAGTGTGACTATGTCCAGCACTAGTAAGATCATTTCTATAGCATTGTACTTGATTTCATTAATAATACCTTTAAAAAGAAGTTAATAAATTGAAAATGTTTCAGAAAAGAGCCACAAGAATGCCAGCAATTTTGCTATATTCTATGAAATGGAAGAAAAATTGTGGAGTTTAGCAAGAAGGTGGTGGAGTGAGTGAATGAGTCTCTGCTTAACTAGGGAACATTTTTGTGATAGAGAGAACTTTCTATGACATAGTTGAAGTGTGTGAAGTCTGAAGCTGAAGCTGGACAAAGTGACCATGTCTATACTGGTAGACGTTGCTTTGTAATTTATTGGGTAGATGTGCTTTGCAGTGTTCCTGTAGTCCCACAAAAGCCCCCTGTGGCTCCCTCTCTGCTCATATGTTTGGGTTTTTCTCCGGAGGAAGCCAAGGTTGCAAGGGGATGAGGTGCATGCAAATATCCTCTTAGCAGGGAGTCAGCCTGCGGACATGA